TGCCAAGCTGCTCAAAACCATGCCTGGTACATAAACACACACACACAAGAAGAGGGTTTGCAGTGAGAAAAACCAGTCACACAACCTGTAGTATATTCTTAAAGATGTGTTTAAAGGGCAAGCTTGTCTTTTCTCTGTGCTTTTTACCCTCCAGAGTTGTCCGGCGTGCTGCATCAGTGTCACATCCTGGCCTCCGAGATGGTCCACTTCATCCACCAAATGCAGTACTACATCACCTTTGAGGTCAGACCATTAGCGGCGGCGTTCCGCTCGCAGGTTGCAAAACCCGAGTTAAAAAAAAAAAAGAAGCAGTAATTACATCAGGAGGCGATCTGCTGCGTCTGTTAAATGCAACGCTGCATGAAAGTGATTTACAGGAGCAACAGTAGCCTGGAGGTCGGTGAGGTTAACTCGATTTGAGAAGGCTGCCGGTTCAAATCCAAACCTTCTGAAAGTCAGACTGAAGAGGCTGTTTGAGATGGAATAACTGATGCCAACCGCAGCTTCCACTGTTGTGTAACACATCTGATAAAATAATTATAGAAACTATAAGAACCATATTGTCTGTGGACAGGGAGGCGCCGCCATCATATCTGATTTGTATTAAAAGGGCTCCATCGTTCCCGTGTAGGTGCTGGAGTGCTCCTGGGACGAGCTGTGGAACAGAGTGCAGCAGGCTCAGGACCTCGACCACATCATCGCCGCCCACGACATCTTCCTCGACAGCGTCATCTCAAGATGCCTGCTGGACAACAACAGCAGGGTAACACACACACACAAGATAACGTCATGGATTTTCTGCTTTTATTTGCCTCCCCTTTTGCTCACACTCTTCCTTGAACTCTGTTTCTGTCTGTTCATCCAGTCTCTTTTGAACCAGCTGAGGGCCATATTTGACCAGATCATCGAGTTTCAGAGCGCCCAGGACTCCCTCTACCGCTTGGCGCTGGAGGAGCTTGCCCTCCGGCTGCAGTTCGAAGAGAGGAAGCAACAGCGGGAGGAGGAGGTAGGAGGTGTCTATGCTGCAGATGAGCAGAGAGGGAAAGAGCGATGGGAACGTAATAGTATTTAAAGTGATACTAATCCTGTCTTCAGGGTCAGTGGGGAGTGACGGCCGAACAGGAAGCGGAGGAGAAGAAGAGGATTCAGGAGTTCCAGGAAACCATACCAAAGATGCGCTCCCAGTTCCGCATCCTCACCCACTTCTACCAGGTAGCAGCCTGAGCCTCCTCCAGGAGTAGCTGTCCACCTTAAAGGCAATCAGCTGTTTCTCCTTTTCACATCTGTTCGACTTTGTCCCCACCCACCTCTCCCTCCTTCAGAGCATTGTCCAGCAGTTCCTGGTGTTGCTGATGACCAGTACGGATGAGAGTCTGCGTTTCCTCAGCTTCAGACTGGACTTCAACGAGCACTACAGGTTAAATACAAAGATGTCGGAGGTCATGTTGAAGTCTTTTTTTGTTTTACAACCCCTTCATTTCCTTAAAATGATCATTGTCCTTCATCTTCAGGGCCAGAGAGCCGAGGCTGCGAGCCTCACTCGGCACCAACCGAGGGCGACGGCCGTCAAACATCTGACGTGACGATGGCATCAACAAGCGGGGCTTCCTGTCGTCGGAGCATTTGGGGATGACATCACAGAGACGGGGCCGGCCAGCGGACTTGAAGCGCCTCATGTCGAGATGATGTCATGCCTTGGAGGAGCGACCCGGCACCTTTCTGGACGCTCTGGTGGTCGCCAAGTGATGACATCACAGCAGACGGATCCCTGCGTCGGATCGCGAAGGAATAACGTCCAGAAAATCGAAACTTTCGGAGCTTGACATGCAGAGCCAACGGCGTAAAAAAAAAAAAGAAGGGCTGCTGGGAAACTTGAGTGTGAGGAGGTAAACAGAAGCAGACTGAGCTCCCCGAGTCTCACAGGGCCACCTTCCATGGCATGCCTTATTAAAGAGAGACAAACAAAAAGACTTTGTCTCAGCGTGGTTGCCAAATCTAGTCCCAACACACATAACGTATGTACATAGAGTTTATGCAAAAATGTAAGTATGTGTATATATAATATGCATCTATACACGTCACCCATGGCTTTGCGTCTTCTCACTAGGGTTCAACCGATATGGGTCTGATATTGATATTTTTTCAATTTTGTATTCGTAGCCGTCATTAAAACGATTAAATTTGAGCACTTTTAGTACAATTCTTCCTCGAGACACTGTGTTTCTGCTGTGGATTCGTCCTCTGGTCAGTATTGGCTCACCAGTATATCGGTCTAACCCTAGATCTCCACTCTCCTGCTTAAAATCCAGGGTTTTATCTTTAGCGTGTCAGGTCAGCTGTCCAATCACACGCTGACAATTCTGCTTCCACTGACATGAAGACATGTGGCTCATACAGACAGAAGAAGCCCCTCTGAGGACTGAGAACTGACTACTGTAGGTTTCCACTGCTCAGTGTACTTCTGTCTGTATGAGAGACGGATCATGTCAAAGACACAATCCTCACAACAACCACAACAACCTCTTCTCATTACATAAACTATATAAATGTTCACGTTACGTTAAAATATGTAAATATCCTGAAATGAAAGTCCATATTTAAAGAAGTTAATGGTTATAAATGTCAACTTGGGCAGTTTATTTTCTGAAAACCAGTATATCTGACTAAAGAAGAGTGTTAGTGTTCATATGTGAGGTTTGAGATGAAGATGCTGACGTTATCTGTGGTTCAATATCAGCTTATTCACTTTTTTACGGATATGGTTAATGGAGTATAATCGATTAGAAGAAGCATCTGGACCAGAACTTTAAACTGAACGTCCTTTGTGTAGAAATGTTTCACGGGGAAATATTAAACAAACTACATTTCAGTGTTTGGAGCTAAAAACACGATTTTCACCGAGCAGCAGATGTCCTTTGACATCAGCCCTGGAGTCACTGACTCTAAACCATCCACCGGGTTTGTTACTTTTATTGTCAATGAAACAAGCCGCTGCTGCATATGGTCATATTAGCTGCTCTCTGCTGATGAGTTCACACACACAAACTGAACCTGGGTCAGCACTCCTGCACCATCTGTCCTCTACATTGTACAGCACATAATGTATAGAATCAAGGGAAACGAACCATCCCGTTCCCCTTTAATAAAATGTTTTTTAATTCACGTGTGTGTGTGACTTGTTTTACCTCGATGCCGAGCAGCTCTGCCTCTGGGTTGCGAAGGGATTTACTTGAACTTACTGCCACCTACAGGCAAGACATCAGAGATGGATGTCAAAGGTAACCTTTCCAGATTCATTTCCACAGCGCACCACTTTTGATTTGCAGTATTGCGAGTTACATTATAGAATATAATCTGCACTATTAGTCTTATTCTCCTCATCTGAGCTGTAACATTGTCTGCCAAAGCTTTAAACACTTCCATTTATAGTTCAAAGTAATTATTTAAGCAGTACAAATTTAGTATTACATCTGTTAAAATTGGGGTACTTGTGAGAGACTGATTAAATCAAGAACGGTCTAAATTGAAGCAGAGGTGGTCGAGATATCCAGACCTCCATTCCCATAGAAACACTGGATCCTACATTTCCCATAATGCAACTCAACAGCTTATTTCTACAACAGTCCCCCTGCTTTGTTGTGTGAGTTGTCCTTTGCATGAAATTCAGTCTTAACTTTTAGTAAAAGCACAGCTAGCAAAATCTTTACTCAAAGGTTCACTTACTGGCGTGTTGGGAGCTTTCACTCACAGCATTCTTCAGAAACTGCAGCTGGATCAGTTGTGACGTAAGAGAGAGTTCGAGTGGATTGTGTACTCTGGTGCTTCGGACTGAACTGTTAGAGAGGTGAGCCACCAGAGGGAGTAACAGCTTCTCTTTTCTCGCCTCCATCCTCTCACACACACATTTATTCACCCCGGCTTTGCATTCTTTGGTGTGAAAGCCCCTGCAAATCAAAAAAGCTGTTCAGCCTCCAGAATCAGACCGTTTCAGTGTCTTTTTGTGCTGACATTAAGCTGTTCTGTTGAGCCTCTGTAAATGGATGAGAACTGTTGCTGTTGTTCATCCGTTGTTGGGATGTTTTGAGGAGGACGTTCACACGATGCAGACGCAGGAGGGAGAGGGAGGTGTGAAAGTCCCATCACACACACGCAGTATGACCGCGGCCTCTTCTCCCGGGAGAAATGTGTTCTGTCTGCCTTCATTTCTGTGCACGTAAACAGCTGTTTATTTGTCCAGAGAGCCATCTCTTCAGGCCGATATATATAACAACCCTCTCGTCTTTGTGGATAACACTTTGAGAAAATTGTCAATTTGGAAAGCTGGAGTACGTTCGAGGCTGAGAGTCCTGACTGCTCGGCTGGAACAGACAGACTACTGGGATCTTCCCTTCCTTTCTTCCTCTCTACACTGTTTCTATATGTGATGCGTCTGCAGGTAAAGAGCTGTTTGTCTCTCACATCAAGATGGTTTCTGATCACTTAAGACATTTTTTTACCCAGTATTCCCAACGCCCCTCGTGTCATTTTCTCTCAACAGAAATAGCTTCGCTCTGCCGACCTTTATACCGAGCAACACCTCTCCGACAAACTGACCTGGTATCGGTTCATTCTGCAACGTGTCGGTGGTCTTTGAACGTTTGACAGCCTTGGACATGTTCTCTGTCATTATTTTACTAAAAAAAGTGATCAGTGACTCTCTACTTCAGCCTTATAGTCTAAAAATCTTTTATATATCACGATACTGATGATACTCAAGATGCACTCTCACCTCTACCTTTGTGCCCTGGTGCAGTGAACCCTCACTAATACCAGAGAAACAGATCCAGCTGCCGCTCACATCCACATCTGCACTTCCACCAGCCCCGGGGCTCGAGGCCACACCAGCTACCATCCAGGGCATATGTTCCATACTTTTAATTAACATCTTTAATTCTTGTTCTAGTTTGATATTTTTATGATGTTTTTACATTAGAAATGTTCACAAATCTCCTGAAAGGATCATCAAAGTTCTTCTGTGCGACCTCCTAACACTGTTTTAAGGTGAGACAAAGAAGAAGAAGAAAACGCGCCTGTGTTGTCGAGCCAGGAACCGACAGCTGACATTTACTGGCATTTCTGGCAGCAGGTGTATTTGAGAGAAATCTTGTTATTTCTTTTCATCCCTCTTGTCTCTGTCGCTGTCCCCACAGTTTGCTTTACTTTAACACGGTGCAGAAAGCACAAGCTAATGCAGGAAAAGCGCTGTAATAAGCACTAACCGTGCCCAAGCTTTCTGCTCCTTGGAAAATCCGGCATTGTGTGCGGGACCTCCACCTCCTTTGTTCACAGTCGGCTTTAACAAGAGTCTTGAGGATAGATGTGCGGCATTAATTGGACATTTGCATTTATGGGATTTTAATGAGGCTAATGAGGCCAGAAGATTGTTGCTACGACTTAAAGTTTTTGCCCAGATACTGACCAAGGTGTGAGACGTACTCTCAGTGGTGGATAACTGTCCCCTCGTCCAAACCCAAACTTTCACCTTTTGAAGTTGTTTCCCAGGTTTGATCTTCAAAAATATCAATAACATGTCGTTGATGTACAAATAACTAAATCCCACACTTTTCGGGCGCTGGTTCCCTCTCTTCTGTTTTGAACAGTCAAACACGTATTTTGTCGTCTGTGTGGTGGCTCATCGATCGAAAGGATAAAGAAAAGGCAGAAAAGTAAAGATGTATAATGAACTGATACAGAGAAGTGATTTGAAATGGATGCTAGTTGTGTCTGACGTTATCCTGAAGATGGCAGGGCCCTCAAACGTTGATGTTTCATGAAGGCTTGAAATGAATGCAATATATGTGACACTCCATGGCCTTGAAGAAGCCAGGAGTTAGTAAAGTCCTCTCAGTAAATACCAGTCTGAAATGATTAGATATGAATTATATCAGAGAACACAATATGAAAAGGCTGACAACTCACAAAGGGGGTCAGGTCTGAGTGAATTCCTGCTGCAGCACATCTCGTCTCAGCTGCTTTTTACCTTTAAAAACTCGGGCAGGTGAGCTCGCTTCAGCTCGGCTGGATTTCTTGATGTTGCAGCAAGGTTACTTCTTCCCTTTCAGGCTCCTCGCCTCTGCATCGCACAGCCACATGCTGACAGCTTTGCTCTGTAGTTCCCTATTTTGAATTTTAAAGCGAGTCTCACAGCCGTGCCATCCGCCGGCATTCTCTGCTTCTTTGAGACGCTCAGTTGTCTCAGCCACGTCTTTGTCGCTCTGGATGAAGCAGTGGAACTTTGTCTGGATCCTGCTGTATTCACAAAAATAAAAAAATGACGAGTTAACTTTACACCAGAAAGGCCAGTGGATTTGGGGCGGAAAAAAACCTGGACATTAATTCTCACCACAGCATCCTCTTTCACACAACACTTTCGAGTTTTAATTTGCCTCCCTCAGGTTCTGATTTATGTGAGCAGCGATCGGGCCGTCTCTGCAGGGCGGCCGACCGTGCAGACAGTGGGGAGCGTTCAACACGGAGGACGGACAACACGTCGACGGATCCAGCTGAGCTGCCATCACTCTGGTCAAACGTGTTTTTCGGTTTGCGGTTTCTGTGGTGACCATGCACGAAGGTGCAAATGTCTCTCAGAGAACGCCTGGAGGGAATTTCTTCAAATTTGGCACAAACATCCAGCTGGACTCAAGCATGCACTGATTAGAATTTGGTGGTCAAAGGTCACTGAGACCATGCAGAACACATTGTTGGCCATTATTCAAGAATTCTAATTATGACAATTTCCCACAAATGTCTAAAATGATGATGTGGTGACATGGTTGGTGGATGTGTAGCTTTTAAAGGCAAATAAAGTTTAACAATGTACTTCTTTAACATGGAAAAAGTATAGAGACTCCATACATGCTAATTATGGAACAGCAGCACGTTTGTTGCTCTCCCTCCTCTGGTGTGTTACTACTTGCAATTAGCGGGAGCACTGTGTGACATTTTCACTGCCACTGCCCCCAGAGGTGCCCGTTTCCTGCCCTGGTTTATCAACCGCGTGCATGCGCTCATACGGGTATGCTGCAGCTTGGCTGTTTAAATATTCCAGAGTAAAGTGCATCAGGAAGTGTCGATCAGAGGTCACCAAAACACCGGCTAGTCGTTGGATATTCATATCTATGTTCATGCTAATCTAGCAAAGTGGTCGTTGGGATACCTTGCAGCTGATGAAGAGCTGATCGACATTAAGCCGGGTGTGATTTCCGTTATTGGCTGTGACATTTTAGAATCACAGGCCGTGGCCGCTTCAAAGATATTTATTCAGCTTAGACGGTCGAACGGATTGATGGACACATTAAAGGACGGGCAAAGAATAGTTTATGAGCTCATACGCATGCACAAGAGTTCCGCCGTCAGTCATGAGGCCTGATGGGAGAAGCTGTCTGCGGGCTGGAAATGCCACCGTCTCCTCTATTGACAGACAGCAAAAACAGAGAGAGAGAGAGAGAGAGAGAGAGAGAGAGAGAGAGAGAGGGACGTGGGTGTGTTGTTAATGTTTGATGAAAGTACTGCAGCTCTTTATTATTTTAGGCCGTCAAAACAAGACAGAGAGCCGTCATCGTTCCTCTAGTATCTAGTCCAATGTAGTCTATAAATATTAGGAAAAATAATAATAAAAAGTCTGTACATGCAATGCAACATGAAGTCATTTTAACATGCAGAATGTTGGGAAACTTGCTAGACATTGTGACAAGCAACAAAAGCACCAACTGCACATTATAACATTATTGTACCTGCTTAAACATCAGCATTAACACTTCATGGACAAGACACAACTACCAGAAATCCCCTAGACACAACACAGATGTAACACAAAGCATAAAAAGATACAATAACGACATGACAGATTGTCAAACCAGTGTTCACATCAGTGTTTAGTTTATCAATATAGCTTCACAAACTCAAGGCACAAGAGCTGTGAAGACATGAATACAAACATTTGTGTCAATCCCGAGTTAAGGCCGCTGTGTTTTAGGGTGAAGTTCAGCTGTACGCTGTCGCGGTACATTTTGTGCAGTCAGGTGATATCTGTATGCAGGAAATGTACAAGGACGGGCCAGTGGATTTCTCCCCAGAGGCCTCATCTGTTACCAGTAATGACGCTAATGTCTTATAATTAACGA